GAAGGAAGGAAGGAAGGAAGGAAGGAAGGAAGGAAGGAAGGATGGATGGATGGATGGATGGATGGATGGATGGATGGATGGATGGATGGATGGATGGATGGATGGATGGATGGATGGATAGAAGTAAGCAAGCAAGCAAGCAAGCAAGCCCTGCCTCCATTAAAAGCTTCTTGAGATGGTTTGAAACCTACTCAAATTTGTGATGGGTGAACTCCCACTGGGCTAAAATGGAATTTCTCCCTCTTGATCCTCTTCTATTGGACATCATCATGGTTATCCCAAGTGTGGATAAGTTGGCCCTAAATAACAATGTGGTTTTGCCTCCCCCAACCTGTCTTTCAGGTTCTTTTCCTTCCTCCAAGTGTTTTCTAGTTTATTTCACCTTCCGTGATCGACTGTAACACATTTCTCCTTCCCCTTTTCTCCTTGTGTGAATTAGGTGGACGGGAATTCAGTCACCCAAAGTTGGCAAATCGTTTGTGATTTGTTTCTTATTGTGTGCCGTCAAGTACATAGATTCGGATTGGTGGCGACTCCTTCCAGGGTTGTCTAAGTAGAGTTTCCCATTTCCTTCTCCTGGGTCTGTGTGCGGCTGGCCCAAGGCCACCTAGGCTGGTTCTACTCACAAGAGGCACCGTCGGGAATCGAACTACCAACCTTTGGCTCCATGGCCAGATGCCTAAACCACTGAGCTATCCAGTCAGCTGATTTGTTCCTTACTGAATTCAAATTTAATCACCCCCACCTACTACCATGAACTTCCCAGCCCTTCCCTCTCCCCTCAAAAGTTCCCCCCCGGCTCTCCACCCATTCTGCTCTCCCTCCCACTTCCTCCAGTTCTTTATGCTTCCATTATGGCAAACGGAAAAGCACACAGCAGTTTCCTCACCCTTGTGAACTGTGGCATGTTGTGCAATATCGGGTGTGTGTGTACATAAGACCTTCCCTTCGAGTTCCCCCTTGCGAACATGTAAATAGGGTGAGAGATACATTGGAATGAATTTGGAGCACATCTAGGAAAAGCTATTGAGGAGGAAGAAGTCAACCAATTAATCTTAGCATCTCAGCTCTCAAATAAATAAAAGAACAAAACACTTACAGAAAGTCCGGGGTCTCCTTTATCTCCTTTCCTACCAGCTGGGCCTTTTTCTCCCTGTTGAAAAGATTCCAGCAGTCACACATATTTTTTAAAAAAAGAAAAACAAATGGTGAACTAGATGTACATTCATCTAGAAGACTAGTTATTCCCAGCTAGGGAAAGCCCACTTGAATCACCTGCTGAATGATAAGTCAAAATGTATAAAAGTCCCACTGAGTCAATGGGTCTACTCCAGTTGAGAACAGATGGTGCATCTAGGCCTGGAAGTGACCAACATGGATTTGACCCAACTCCGGGAGGCGGTGGAAGACAGGAGGGCCTGGCGTGCTCTCTGGTCTACGGGGCCACGAAGAATCGGACAAGACTTAACAACTAAACAACAACAACAAATGTAGTCAAAGGCCTGAAGCTAGTGGTCTGAAATTTGTCTAGTTTACAGTCCCCTGGAAGTTGATGAAGTTTCCAAATTTGTGGTAAGGCAAAAGGTAAATGTTCCCCTTGACATTTTTAGTCCAGTCGTGCCCGACTCTAGAGGGCGCTGCTCATCCCCGTTTTTAAGCCGTAGAGCCAGCGCTTGTCCGAAGACAGTCTCTGTTGCCATGTGGCCAGAGTGACTAGGGAACACTATTGTACCTTCCCACCGAAGTGGTACCTATTTATCTACTCGCATTTTTACATGCTTTTGAACTGCTAGGTTGGCGAGGAGCTGGGACAAGCAACGGGAGCTCACTCCGTCGTGTGGATTCAATCTTACGACTGCTGGTCTTCTGACACTGCAGCCCAGAGGCTTCTGCAGTTTAGCCTGCAGCACCACCACGGCCCTGGTATATCACTGCAAAACCAAGAAATACATAAGTCCTTTTGGTTTTCCTGAGCAATTTAATAGTTTACTTATAAACGAATAGTCTATGGAATACACTCCTTTCCAGCCCGTGGTGGTCTCCACTCTGTCTGATTTTAAGAAGGGAAGAAAAACACATCTTTTTGGACTGGCATCTAATGTTTAACCTGCCTAGCAGTATTGTTTTAATCGTATGCTGGATTGCTCGGTGGTTTAGGTATCTGGTTGGGAGTTCGATTCCCCACTGGGTCTTCCTTGACAGGGATGGACTTGATGATCCATAGGGTCCCTTCGAGCTCTGCCGTTCTAAGATGATGATGGTATGATGATGGGCTGGCACATCATGTGATCGCTGGCAAAAGGAGCCACCTAGCCCATCCCGTCAGCAGACCAAAGAGTGGGACAAACCTCCATGTAGTTGTACCTTAAGCCTATATATATATAAAAAACCAGAACTATGGCATTTTAAAAAATTATCAGTTTAATATCAGCACGAGTTTTCTGGGTTTGCAGCCTACTTCCATACTCAGCCCGATCTGTTAATCTTCAAAGTATCCCCACACCTTGTTTTTCCTTTATGTTATACATTTATTATTTATTTCGTTAATTTATATACCGCCCCATTTGTGCGACGCACTATTCTGCACAGTTCACAGCAGTAAATAAAACGTATATTAATAAACTATGAATATACAGATAGAAAACATTGGACAGAATAAAGCAAATGGCACCAGAGGCAATTTTCTATATAATAGCAGGACAAAAAGGCATAAAATGAAACAGGGTCAGTGTGGAAAGCAGCATGAATAGGGAATGGGCCAGACATAACTCCATAGGGGGCTGGTTCCTCGAAGTCGGTGCCACCGTGAAGAAGGCAGGACCTTTTGCGGATGACTTCCAGGCCACCCTTGGGAGACTCCCCGGAGGGGAATAGTCCAGGGAGATTGGGTGGATGGGGCAGACGCTGTTGGAGAGAGACACTCCAGCAAAGAACGTGATGCCAAACCAGGAACGGCTTTATACACACGCCTCAAAACCTTGAACCTGATCCGGGACACAACAGGTCAGCAGTGGAGGCAAGGCAAAACTGGAGTGATGAGCTCAAACTTGCTCACACCGGCCACCAGTCTGGCCATCATGTCCTGGACCTCCTGTAGTCTCCGGATCAGCCTCAAGGGAAGCCCCACGCATTGCAGTAGTCAATCCAGGAGAGGACCGGCCCATGCATCAGAAACAGACCAGCATGGCTACCTCTCTGGAAACGGAGGCATGGCTGGGTCTCCAATTTTTGCTTCTACAACTGAGCCATGAGAAGTCTGGATACGCACCATTTCGCCTCTGTCGCCCGGCATCCCTGGGGGTCCCCGAGGGCACCGCTGTTGCTTTCCTCTTTGACCTCTTTCCCCCTGAAAACAAGACATTGCACATTCACACGTTGTCCCTCAGGCACCGTCCGAAGGTCCCGCTCCCCTGTGCCTGGGCTTATACTTCCCCCCACCCTTTATCACTGGTGACCCTACATGTCTGGATCCACACTCAGGACTTCCAACTCTGGGCAAGCATGGCTGGTATTGCAAAAAGCACAACATGGGTGGATCTGGGGGGGTGTCAGTTTTATCACCCATACATTCCTGTGGGAACTGAACAGAGGAGCAAATGCACAAAAAACAAAAACAAAACAAAAAAACCCTACAACCCAAATCAGAAACAAGCAAGACATATATTTATGGAATGTTTCTTTTTAAAACATTTTTAATGTTTTCAGGCCACGGATAAGGGAATCTGTGGATACCTGGTTCCATGGATAAGAGGTCTTCTCAAGAAGTCCCTTTCTCATTTTGAAAAATTGGGTATTTGGGGATGCTAAACATTCCTGGGTGGTGGTGGTTTGAGATCAAGGTGCATGCTGTTCTGGAGTCACGCTTTCCCTGCCTCTGTTTTAAAACACCTCCTGTTTCTCAGTGGAGCTGATCTCCTGGAAGCCTTCCTGAAAAGGGGGCGTTATGGAACGTGCACTGTGTTTTAAAAATGGCTGGGGCATTTTTGTGGCCACTGCTGTAACAAATTTGGTGGGAGGTGGTGCACGTGGCCCTCCGTGGGCTCCCAGGGGTGCCGGTGACGCCCCCTGATCCCTGAGGGTCGCCCGCCCCTGCAGCAGAGGGAAGAAAGGACCCAGGCTCAGCATAGAGTTCAGGGTGAGAGCCAGGAGGATGATGGACCATAAAGTGGGAAAGAGGGATACAGCAGTATCTTTGGGCCCTAGATCTGTGGTCTGGTATTTGCTTGAGCCTCTTAAGTCAGAGATGGGCAACCTGGTGCCACCCAGCTGCTTTCAGCTCTAACTGCCATTAAACCCACTTGGCCTTGGCAATGGTCAGCGACCACAGAGGTTGTAATCTGAGACCTTCAGAAAGGCTGTCCATGCTCTAAATCCTTGGTTTAGGATTGCAGGGGTAGCTGAGATCTTAGAATGGAGTTGGAAGGGGCTTCTAAGGCTGTCATGTCCAACCCCCTTCTCAGGGCAGGAATACAAATCAAAGAAGATTTGACAAAGGGTTATCCGATGCTCTCTTAAATGCCTCCATCATTAGACTGCTCACTGCCTCCCCAGGTCATGGGTTCCGTTGTCGTACCGCTCTAACAGTTAAGAGTTTTTTCCTGATATTCAGCTGAAATCTGGCTTCCTGTCACTTGAGCCCATTGTTGCGTGTCTTGCACTCTGGGATGATGGAGAACAGATCTTGCCGCTCCTCTGTAGAACTATCTTTCAAATCTTTGAAAAGTGCTCTCTTATCTCCCCTCAGTTTCCTTTTCTCAAAACCCTCCGTCTTCTTTTCTCAAGACTAAACAGGGCCAGTTCTTTCAGTCTTTCCCCCTAGGGCTTGATTTCCAGTCCCCTAATCATCCTTGTTGCCCTCTTCTGAACTTATTCCAGTTTTATGGCACGCTTCTTAAACTGTAGTGTCGGAATTGGACACAGGACTCAAGATGAGGCCCAACCCATGCCAAATAGAGGGGTACTAGGACCTCATAGGATTTGGAGACTAGACTTCTGTTAATTCATCCTAAAATAGCATTGGCCTTTTCTGCAGCCACATCACCCTGTTGGCTCGCATTCAGCTTGTGATTTACAATACAGTACAGAACCTTCTCACTCATAGTATTACTGAGCCAAGTATCCCCTGCCTTGCAATGGTGTGTTTGTGTTTTTTCCTTCCCTAAGTGTCGAACATTTTTTGAGCTTCTCTCTCACAGGAATCATGGCTACTCTTGTTCTCCAGAAGGGAAGGTGGGTGATCCTACGGGATCTTACAGGACCTCTCCTTCCTGGGTGCTCTGGATTCATCTGCATCCCAGATGAGGCTGCCTAGATAATGGCTGATCATCATCCTTGCTTTTGCCTCCGGGACTGTGGGGGCAAGAGCTACAGGGAAGCGAAAAGCACTTAGTTTTTCTGCCCGAGCGAAAGAGGCGTGTTCCCTCTCTGTCTTTTTCCTGCCACTCAATCACCAAACGGAGGCTTCTGCTGAAGGAGAGGTAGGATTTTTGCCCTTTGAGGGTTGCCCTTTCCCCCTGCATGGGATCCTTCATAATTTAGGATGAAGACAGAGAGAGAGAGAGAGAGAGAGAGAAAGAGAGAGGCGTTGAAGCGGAGGAGGAAACAAATCTCTTCTGCTGATCAACACCAAAGCGGACATGGCTAATTATCTTTTTAAGAGCTCTTGCAGTGTGGCTCCCACCTGCGACGGAGATAAAGTTTCAGCCTCTTTAAGCATGTATGAGGCCATTTCTCTCTCTCTCTCTCTCTCTCTCAACTCACTTTCCCTTTTTAATGTGCTCTTCAAACAACCCACAGAAATAGCAACGGTCCTCCCTAGATCTCTGTGGGTCCTCGAGGTCTTTGCCCTTAGTCTCTAGATCTTGCCCCTGTGGTGCAGTCTTCGGTAATCTCGTGCACAGACTACACTGTGACATGCTGTACAGGGGACTGCCCATGAAGACTGTTCAGCGGGTGCAGAAGAAAGCTGCTCATTTGTGGCTCATTTGTTGCCAGCAAGTTCGGGGACCTGAGCTGTTGGTTTTTGGAGGGCTTCACTCCTAATCTCGGAGCAGGCTGCCTAGGGAATGCTGGGAGATGAAGTCCAACATGCCCAATGTCCAGATTCCAAGCATTGGTTGGAGGTGTGATTTGGGTCCCACCTCTTCAAAGGATCTTTTTCACTGACCATTGCTAATGACTGAACTTGGGACTAGAGTTGGAGACACAGGTGGCTCATGAGTAGAGCAGGGGGGCCCTTTCCCCAATCCCTCCCACCCTTCATGAGGAAAGACTGTCCTGTTTCAAAAGGCATTCAAAAGCATCCTCTCCTGAGCTGTTCTGTATGTGTTCCCAGTGTTGCCATCATCGTGAGTTTGTTTATTTGAGACACTTAACATTGGGCGGTTGGGTTATCGTCATGGTATGTTGTTGAAAACCACTTAGACTAGTGCTTTGCACTAAGGCAGAGTATAAATGCATGAAAGCATGGATGGATGGATGGATGGATGGATGGATGGATGGATGGATGGATGGATGGATGGATGGATGGATGGATGGATGGATGGATGGATGGATGGATGACTGATTGACTGACTAACTGAATGGATGGATGGATGATGTAAGCCTCCTTGGATCCTTTTAAAGGAAAAAGACAGGATAAAAATATTTTAAAAAATGAAAAATAAATAATGTTTCAGTAATGGACCTGAGGGACTCCTCACCTGTGTTCCTGGTTCTCCCTGTGGTCCTTGGGCTCCAGGTGGCCCAGCAACGCCCACCTTCCCAGGTAAGCCAACCCGTCCTTTAAAGCCACCCAGTCCAGGCACTCCTTTGGCACCCTGCAAATTCCAAGCAGAAAACTGCATTTCAGGATAATGGTCACAGAGGGGCACATCTTGAAAGCCCAAAGCAAAGGACGACAGATTTGTTATCTTCCATTCCACAGGGCAGGACTAGATCTAGTGGGTTTATTTATAAATTCATTGTACATCTGGTCTTCAGAAGAAGGAAAAAAGCCTCCCAGGATGGCTTACAATAGTCTTCAGAAGAAGGAAAAAAGCCTCCCAGTTACAGTATAGACCTGTGGTTCCCATCCTTGAGTAACCCAAGTCTTCTTGGACTGCAACTCCCAGAAACCCTGGCCAGTACAGCCGGTGGTGAAGGCTTCTGGGAGATGCAATCTGTGAACATCTCAGGATGGTGGTGAAGGCTTCTGGGAGATGCAGTCTGTGAACATCTCAGGACCCAAGATTGAGAACCACGGATATAGATGATCAAACAATCTGTGCCCCTAGGCTTACTATCTAAAGCAGAAGCGATGACACAAAAGGAATAATGAGTGTGGAGGGAGGAGGAGAAATGAATCCAGATGTCGTTGCTGAAGGCAGGGGGACAATGTAGGCACATCTGAGTGCCTGCCTGCTTCTCCTTCTCTGGCCGACCCATGAGAGTCATCATCTGGAGGAAAGACTACCCCGGAGGTGTGTCCGTCCAACACCTCTGCTTTTAAGTTCCATCTGTTTTTTCCGAAAAGATGGATAATAGAATGACATCAAACTTGGAAAATAAATCTGTGCCAAAATGTCTCTCAGTCCTTGTATACATCAACAAAACTTACAATCTTAGAACTGCAAAGCTGGAAGGGACCCCTAAAGATCATCAAGTCCAGTCCCTGTCAAGGAGGGAATCGAACGCTCTGCCTCTGGCTCAGCAGCCAGAGATCTAAACCACTGAGCTATCAGTTCCATCCTACTTATTACACCAATGCTGAGAGATAACTTTATGAAGCCGTTGTTGTCTTTAAAAGTAGCTCATTCCAGGAGCTACGATCCTTGCAAATCATTACCCCCCATCTCTGTCTTTGTTTCTAAGCGAAATCCAAAGTATATCTGATCAATTTACCTGGGCAGATGGATTGGACAGAGATGATGTTAGACCTTCCTCTTTGCTGGGCTGAATAAGCAATGTTCCCCCAGAGTGTTCTGCTGTTCTCGACTCTATAAATAGGAATCTATTCATTTAACTGGAGAAGCTGACAGGGAAAAGATGATGCTGACCCCCCCAATAGAGGGGAAAAAAGAAATGAACTGCTCAACCAAGTGGAGCCTTGAGCACCAGCTGATTAAGGTGGGAGATCCTGCAGATGATGGATGGGATGAAATTCTTGGTGCTCCTGACAATGCCACCTTCCCTGTTTAGCACAAGTGACCCCCCCACGACTCTCCACCTAATTATTGCAAACAAAGAAGCCATACAAACAGAGTTATTGCAAAAGTTAAATGAATGAAACTCTTAGCAAGGAGACTGGAAAAGGGGTGGCTTCTCCCTCTTTCTCCTCTTGTGATCTGTTAGATGCATTACATCCTCCGACATAATTGATATAGATCTATTAGATCCTCTGATATAGATCCATTACTTCCTCGATATAATGGAGTCCCTGTTTTGAAAGAAAACAGGGACTCCATTATAAAGTGCAGTGGGCAACTTTTCCACTGATGCATCTTAGAAAAAAAAATATCTCCAGAATACTTTTTCTTGGCAGAGTGTGAATTTTTGGCTAAAAACCTTTAGCAAAGCAGCAGATGTGCAGGAACCTACATCATAGAATCATAGAAAAGTGAAGTTGGAAGAGGCCTACAAGGCCATCTAGCCCAACCTCCTGCTCAATGCAGGAGTATAATCTATACAAAGCAGAATTAGAGTAGACAACCCATGATTGCTCATCTCATGTCACTTACAGTCTCTGATAGGTTGGTAAGAGAAAGAATAAAAAAATCCCATTCACTCACAGTTCTGAACAGGTCAAAAACAGCATACTGTCCAAAAACTGAGTAGTTACACAATGAGGTCTTAACCAACTCAAAGCGACATGACTAACAGCATAACACTAACTGACTACATAGCTAACTTGTTGACTGAATACTACCTGAAAAAGAGTGTGTGTGTGTGGGGGAAGACTCTTAAGCAGAGAGGCGGGGCTCTCTTTGAATTCAGAGGCAGGGAAGCAAGAATTGGTTACTGCTGGATTGATTGACAGTCACCCCAGCCCAGAAAGGTAACCCCCACCCACAAAACTTCTTAAAGGCATCATAAGAAGGTTGCGGAAACTCCAACACTTTTTCAGATTCAAAACGGTAAATCCCAAATTATTGTGCCATTTCTATGAGATTATCTTGCAACCCCAATACCGTTTGGGGCCAGGAAAGACTAATTCTAAAACCAGTCACTACAGGGGTAACTCATGTAAAGAGCAGAGTAAACCTCGCCAGCGATTCACAGCACACCCGCTCTGCCTCTGAAATATGAATCCCTGGGCAACGTGGCTGGGTTCGTCCCATACAGTCAGGAGCCTTCTCTTTTGATGGTGACCTCTGCTTCCTGAATTGCTGACACACAAAACCCATTGCAGAGAGATTGGTACTCATGCATTAAGGTCCCTTTCCTTGATCTCGCGGAAAGAAAACCACCACATTGACTAAAGTGGTTTCATTTCACACTTCCTTGTTATTTGGCTTTTAACGGATCTGAAACGTAGCCTTCGCACACTGCATTTCAAAACTTCAGATTCTTCCCCTTTTCTCCTTTCCTTTAAAAACTACATTATAAACAAGTAGCAGATATGGTTTCATCTCCACTGTGGTGAGTAATTCCATTATTTTTGTAAATGTCCAATCTTTCTTTCATCTGGTTTAGCGAGTTACTGCTTCACTCCCCAGGGTTCTAAAATGCATTAAGTCGTGCTAAGTGACGGGTGACTCTGTTCATGTAATCTTTTATAAAATCCCACAAAAAGTCAGGATTAGGGGGAGGAGAATGGGAAGGGGGTAAACTAGATGAGGACCTTGGATGGGTTGAAGGGGCTGTAATGGTTGGAGTTTTCACAACCTCACATGCTGCCTCTAATAGTTGCGACCGGGTGGGATCTTTTTGGGCTGAAGTAACTGTCAATCTATCCAGCACTAACCAATCATTCCCTCCTGCCTCTGAATTCCAAGAGAGACCCACCTCTCTGCTGAGTGTTCCTTTTCCCTCTCTTTAGTCCGTTGGAAGCAGTCAGTTGAGTTTGTTTCTTTGTTTGCTGCGGATCTGTTCACAACTGTAAGCAATGAAACGTTTTTATTCTTCTACAAATGTCTCAGAGTGAGACTGTAAGTTAATGAAAAAAAAGGTGGACTACTTTGGGGGAACTTGAAGCTATTCTCCTCTATCGATCTTTGTACTTCCCCTGCATAGCAGAAGAAATTTAACCAGAAATCTAAAACTCTGCAGAACTTGAAGCTATTCTCCTCTATGGATCTTTGTACTTCTCCTGCATAGCAGAAGGAATTTAACCAGAAATCTAAAACTCTGCCACATCCTGTCCCTATAGGGGCCTGGCACCTGTTGTTTGCAGTGAGAAAGAAACTCCCCTTTCTATCAATGGAAACTTCTCAGCTGTTGAAAATAACAGGTATTAAACACCTTGATTCTAGACTGAGACCACAGGATGGGAAAACATCCCTGTGTCAGGGACTGAGTATGGTTTGAAGATTCCTTGCTGGCTGTTTGTGGGGTGACACATCCGCTGGGTTGCACCTTGATCCGAGATCCCCCGATCCCCCATAGAAACATAGGCTTAAGTTTTAAATACAATTTTTAAAACGTGATTTACATTTTCCCTGGGATTCCCAGGCTCCCCAAAGTTAAATCTTGAAGAAACAATATTCCACAGGGCAAGAATGGGGGCCAGCTGCCATCCGCCATGCCCAGAACTTGGCAAAGTTACTTTTTAAAGAACTACAATGCTCAGAATCCAGGTAGCCTAGTCTGTGGCCATGATAGTTAGTAGGTCCTAAGCACTGCGCTCCAAAAAAAGTAACTTTTCTAAGTTTTTCAGTGGCAGGTCCTGGAACCTACACTTGGCTGAAAGTCAAAATGCTGAAGATGGTTGTTTTAGAAACCATCTCTTTTCTTTCAGCGCAGAAAACGAAATAGTCTATGCATCTGAAACTAAAATTGGTCGGGAAAAGTGAAAAACATGGAGAAATTCTGTCTGTTGAAATACATGTATTTCCTAACCAACAAGGCTTCCCAAATTGGACAATGCCTTAACATTCTTAAGAGATGGAGGTGGCACCTCTTAAACAGTAGATAGGAATTCCATGGGACAACCCTCTCATTTTCACTGCAAGCTTTTTGTTGGGAAGTTCTCCAACCTCGCATGCTAATCTTTAGTAGGTGTGGCCAGGAGGGACCGTTCTTAGCTGGGGTGACTGTCAATCTATCCAGCACTAACCAATGGTTCCTTGCCTCTGATTTCAAAAAGAGCCCCGCCTCCCTGCTGAGCGATTTCTCTCTCTCTAAAGTCTTTCGGAAGCAGTGAGCCTGTTTTAAGTCTGCTAAGAGCAAGCATGTTTTATCAGTTTGCTGTTTGATCTGTTCCCAACTGTAAGTCAAGGAAGCGGTTTTTATTTAATTCTTTCTACGCTTAATGTCTCCAGAGTGAGTTATTAAGACTGTAAGTGCCAGTTCATGAGAAAAGGGGGTGGACTAATCTGGGAGGAACTTGAAGCTATTCTGCTTTGTGAATCCCAGCCCTTCTGCTGCGCGGCTAGAGGATTTTTAACCCCCAAATTCAAAA